TTTCCAATGATTTAATAGGCTTGATCAAAATGTAATCTCTCTTCTATTGGTAACCATTTATCAACTGATTTGCCCCTGAATATAAGGGTTTCCAGTTTTCCACACTGCTATACCTATCCTCATCAGCTGCAGTTTGAACTGTTAAGTCAAGGAAACATACATGAATATCCTTTATGCAGTGCCCTACTTTTAAATGTTTTTATTGGTCAGAGTTCACTTGCAGAGAACAGAATCTATTTGAGCTAGTTTAATCAGAAAGGGATTTAGTACAGGTTTTGTTATGGTTTAGAGAACCATTTGGAGTACTGAGAAATAATCAAGAATCCTCTGAGAATAGTTCAACAGAATGGGGCCACCAATACTGATCCTCCTATAGCTACTGGGAAACCATCAAGGCCAAGGAAACAAACCTGTGGTAGAATTACAGAAGTAGCAAAAGCATGATTTCTACCTTGCAAATCTCTTACAACTACATCTGATTAACGGGATCCAAATCAATTCAGAGCTCTAGCTATTATATCAGTGTGTGGGAAATGTTTGTTTTTCTGAACTATGATATTCCCACTAAAAATTAGGGGTCCTATTTCTGTGAGAGGAAAAGGGGGAAGGAGATTAAAAAAAAAAGTAGTTAAAGTGGGAAGGTAAATGTATTAGGATTATTTTTGCCATAGAGCAGGCTCTTAATAATTGACACATTTATAGAAGCATAATACAAGTTCCCTCTTTAAAAGAGAACATGTGAAATCAGAACTATAAGATCAGGTTCGTGCAAGGCAAACTATACCTTTTTTGGTATAGTTTTTTGCTTTTGCTATTCAAGTACAAATGCACTGTTCTCTGAGCTGGAATAATTACAAGTGTAACCTAATAAAGCTCATTCTCTAGAGGAGTAATTGACCTTAAAAAAGAAAGGTCCTGATCTAATTGAATTCTTTTATATTTTATTCTTTTTCAAGTGGCTTTACCTCCTCATGTCCTCTGATATCCAAGAAAATAAGGGCTCTCAGATGTGCACCAAGTCTGATTTTATCTCATTAAACATTTCAGTCTTAAATCTAGATTTGTAAACTATGCTTTAAAGGAGAGGTCATCATTGTGGGTCACACAGTGTGCAGTTTCTCAATCATGACGTTGTAGTGTGATAGTCCAGCGATTAACCAATGCTCTTATGTTGAAACAAAACTTTATTTACCGAAAAGGTTAGGGGCCATTAATTGGAGGGTGAGTTGTCATTTGCAGACCCTTGTTTTAAATGGAGTAAAAAACAAAACAAATCCTTCATCAGAGGTACCTTGCTGAAGATGTGGACTCGAGTTGGCCCATTCTCTTTTCCCTGCACAGTTAGAGTCCTATCTCTCACACATACACTCAATCTAACTTCCAGTGTCTGAGACACTTGACGGTCATATAATATCGTTCTTCCAAACATTTATGAACCTAAACACATTACATTTCTTTAACTTCAATAACTGTCTTCATAAAGAGACAGCAAGTTGCTACCAACTGTGCTCCACCACACCTGAAGCAACCTATATGTTCTTCTTGGAGCTGGACTCACCTAAAATTCCTGATAGCTTTCACATACCATGAGTACCATAAGCCAGCATGACTCCCCACACAGGACAGAAGTTCTTTTGCTCCTGATAGGGCATTAGCTTTCTACTGAAAGGGAGAATAGCATAGTGACCAAGAGCACAATCTGACCATTGCCATTCATTAGGCACTTGGCCTTAGGATAATTACCCAACCTTTCTATACCTTAGTTTCCTAATATGCAGGATGGGGGATCATCCTAATACCTACTTGGAGCAGTGCCTGGACTATTCCATAGGTGCGATCTACAACAGAGAATTTGGTATCAGCTATTTATATCATTTATGAATATTATAATTTTGTTAATTGGCCTCCATTTTCATCTGAATATTTTGACATATGAGCAATAGGTAAAAGTTGAGTTTTGTTTGCTTGTTTTAATTATGGTCTCCTCATATGAATATTTTGTGTACATTGGTACAACATGTTTTACTAAAACATGCCCTAAATCTTCTTAAAAGATTTATATATATGTATATATATATATACATATATATATGTATGTATATATATACATACATATATATATGTATATATATATATTATAAATGAATGAGCATAAACTTTAAACAGTAGGGCAGATAGCACAAAAGAGTACAACACAGGAAGTAATAGAAACAAACACCATGGACAATTCAGTATTGTACCCACTGATTCTTAACAGCTGCCTGTTCCTCTGGCCCCTTCTTTTCTAGGAATTCTTACACAGTAGTCACACTGGACTTAGATGAGCTGGGTCAGTGGTCGGCAAACCGGCTCGGAGTCACATGTGGCTCTTTGGCCCTTGAATGTGGCTTTTCCACAAAAATACCACATGCAGGCGCGCATGTACAGTGCGATTGAAACTTCATGGCCCATGCGCAGAAGTCGGTTTTCAGCTCCAAAGAAATTTCAATCGTTGTACTGTTGATATTTGGCTATGTAGGCTAATGAGTTTGCCCACCACTGAGCTAGGTGGCACAATGCAGCGAGGCTTGTTAGCAGTCACATTACTAGACCTGCATCCTTAAAGATTCTGATTTAGTAGCTTTAGAATAGGGTGTGAATCTTTATTTTAAAAATGCCTCTCATGATGCAAATGAATGGGAGACTTGCAGACCTTTGTGCCCCATACCCTCACCCTTGTTCTCACTCAAGTGTTCCTTCCTAACCCCATTCTCACTGTCTGTGTGCCCAGGCGGTGCCAAAAGCGGTGCCAGCCTCAGTAGCACTGTCTCAAATACTTACAACAACCCTGCAAAGAAATATTCTTCATCGCATTTTACAGGTAACATTTTAGTTAGTTGTGCAAACTCTTCTTCCTCTTTCCTTGATGAGAACATGTAACTAATAGTTGGTATTAGTTGATATTAGTTGATTTGTTTAAGCATGAAAAAAAAATCTCCTTGAAGGGATGGGCCAAGCGTTTTACCTCTTTGAGTCAGGGAGGACTACAAGGAACAGAAACCCAATCAAGACATGAAGGATTACTGAAATGATATAGAATTTCATGGAATCCAAATGTAGAAAATGCAGTTTGGCCTTTAAGGAAACTCATTTAAACACAGCCTTGCGTGTTTGTGATATTTGTAACAACAAAAGAAAAAGATAACTTTTATATATGTGTTCTGACATATGTATAAATGGCCTCACTCAGAAGGTTGCTCAGGCTAGCTGCAGAAGCTGCCCAGGAATGCGGGAATTCCCCTTGTCTCCACGTAGCCCAAGCTGAAAATTTTCAGGTCCTCCTTCCTTAGAACTGAGTCTAGGACATCCTGTACCAACACCCACCCCCTTTCCCTGGCTCCAGGCCCATTGCTGGATACAACAAAGGGAGAAAGTGTGGCAAGGAAAAAGGGGCCCTCTATTTCCCAAAGGCTCTTTCATCCTAAATGAGAGAAAAATCAACTCAAATTGACTTGAAAAAAAAAATGCACACATTTATTCGGTTATATAAATAAAAGGATCAGAGTTACCGTATTTTTCGGACCATAAGACGCACTTTTTTCCCCCCAGAAGTGGGGGGAAAAAGTCCCTGCGTCTTATGGTCCAAATATAGCCTACACATATACTTTAAAAAAAAAAGTTTTTTTACTTGCCCGGCTCTGTGTGGTCTCTGTGTGGTCTCTGTGTGCTTGCCCGGCTCTAAAATGGTTCTAAATGCTGCTATTTACTTTACAGGGTTGATTACATGTGTTTATGACTGTGATGTTGGGTTTTAATGCACATAAAATATTTTAGGACACTATTTGTTTCAGAATCTTTTTTTCTTCATTTCCCTTCTCTAAAAACTGGTGCGTTTTATGGTCCGGTGCGTCTTATGGTCCGAAAAATATGGTAAATTCAGCTTTGGAATTAGCTGGGGCCACTTTATAAACTGCCCCAGTTTCAACAGGTTTCCTACAGCAGGCATTTTGTCCATATTTGCTGAAAAAAGGTTACCTTCCCTCCTGATTGGAGTTAGCCTTTCAGAACCAAAAAGACTGTAGAAGCCCCTTATCTCTGTCAGGTGACCCAGGCAGAAGGATCCACCTTGAAAAATAAGTTTCTCCACGTGTGTCTGGCTTCTTTCGTCTGACTGCTTCCCACCTACACAACGTTTAAGTGGAAATCAAGTCCCTACTTCACACCACGTGGCACATCTTGCTGTTTTATTGGTCCTAACTACCCACCAGCCAGCTGCAGCCTATGGATCCTTCTTTGGGAGTTTCTAACCAGAGCTGCTTTGGTTCTGCAAGAAAATTCCAGAATTCTTGAGGCTGTAGCTCAGCTCTGCCATCAAATCTGTAACTCCGGGAATATGTCCTTTCTTGGGGCTTTCCATTATCTGTCTGTAATCTATATAGAAGGGACCATTGGGCCACTATGATCATTTTACGTTTCTTTCTGGATAAGACTCTACATAGTAAAAGTAAACTTGCTTAAAAATAAATAAAATTACTTGAAACTCAAAAATAAAGTTACCTTCAAAAAGATGAAAACCAGAACCCTTGATGAGGCTGCTAAAGCCACCTGCCACACCTCTTCTCTAATTTCAAAGTCGTTTGTCCTCTAAGAACAAAGATTCGCTCTGTGGCAATGACTTTGTTTATTTGCATCCTCCTGGAGTGCTCTCCACTCTAAGTCAGGGGCAGTGGGGCCAAAGGGAGCATCCTCCTCAGCACAGGAGCCTTTTCTAATTTGACTTTTGGTCCTGGGAGGGGAGCGCAGCTGCGAGGTATTGCCTCTGAATAGTTGAGATTAAGCCAGGCTAATCCCATCCTACGCCATTCCTCCCTGTTTGTGTTTGTATTTCTCCCAGCTGAAATCAGCCCGGGGACACCAAGCCCTAGCTAGATAAGCCCAGTGGAAACTTCACTACCTTCCCATGGAACCCGGGCCAGTTCCCGCCACCGCCCACCCACGCGGAATCATTCCATTCCCCGGTGGCCAATCAGCACCCCGCACGCCGCCATGCCGGCCAATCCAAGCCAACACACGTTGCTCGGGCCAACTTCTGCTACTAGCCCTCGAACCGGGACACCAGGTTCGAGCTGTGGGTGTGGCTAGAGGTTCTGCCCGCCTCCCGGCAGCTCGGTGCCTCCTCATTGGCAGAGAACTGCAGGGGCTGGACGCCCATTGGCTGCCATCGCCCGGGGCCCCGATGGGCGGGGAAGCCGAGAGCGCTGAACGCGTCAGTGTATCGGAGAGTGGGGAGTCGGTTCCTGGTCGGACGCTTCCCCGCCGGGCGCCCCGCACTCCTCGTTTCCTCTCAGGTAGCCTTGGGCGGGGGCGCAGGGGGCGCCGGGGGCCGTGAGGGGGCTCCGGGGGAGGGAGGGCGGCAGGCCCGGTGCATTTTCCCGGGGCTTTGGCTTGGAGTGGGGCGGGGGAGGCGGCGGCGGAGGGCGGAGGTGGCGCCCCGGGGCCGCCCGGAGGGTGTAGACCTCACCGGGGAGGAAGAAAACGGAGCCCCTGGGAGGGGAGGGGAGGGGAGGGAGCGGTCCGGCCGTAACCCGGGGCTTGCACCTGGTCTCTGCACACTGCTCACCTGGATGTGGACCCCGATTAGGCCTCAGTTTCTTCATTTGTTAAAAGGGGAAGGGGCGGGGATGGCTTTGCTTCCAGGGCCGTGGTGGTGTAGATTGGTGAGGTCACGGTCTGTGAAGGGCGCCGGGCTTCCCAGTTTTCAGTGGAAGCACAGACAACATAGGATCCATCCTCCCACTGGAGGCATTGACTAAGATGATGATGATGATGGTGGTGATGATGATGATAAAAGACAGCTTTTCCCAGTGCTGCTTATAGGTGTCTTCCAAGTTCGGTGCTAAGTGTATAAACTCATGTAACTCCTCAATAAGTTCATGTTACTGCTGTTAATCCTTAATTGACCATTAAGGAAGATTACCTGAGCCCCAGCTGGTTTGGCTCAGTGGATGGAGTTTAGGTAGCCCTGCTGATTGAAGAGTCTCTGGTTCTGCTCTGGTCAAGGACACACGCGGGGGTTGCTGGCTCCATTCCTAGAAGGGGGCGTGCCAGGAGGCAACCGATCAATGATTCTCATCATTGATGTTTCTATCTCTTCCTCTCTGAAATCATTAAAAATCATTAAAAAATAAAGGAAATCTACCTGAGCTATTTTGGGTTCAGAAACCAGAACAAAATATAACAAATTCAATATGATATCATATATATATTTTAAAATAATTCTTTATTGTTGAAAGTATTACATATGTACATATGTCTTCCTTTCCCCCCCATTAATCCCCTCTAATCCGCCCCAGGCCCTCACCACCCCATTATCTGTGGCTTTGGGCCATGCATATATGCATACAAGTTCTTGGTTGATTACTTCCCACCCACTCATTCACTTATGCTCCCCTGACGTCCCTCAGGTTCTGCACTCTGTTCCATGCTACCATGTCTCTGGATCACTAAGTTCATCAGTTTGTTACTTAGGTTCCACATATGAGTGAGATCATGTGCTACTTGTCTTTCTCTGATTGATTTATTTCCCTTAACATGATACTCTCCAGGTCCCTCCATGCTGTCTCAAAGGATAAGATATTCCTTTTTACTCCTGCATAGGTCTCTTCTAGCCAGTGATCAGCTTTCAGCGTTTTACAGAACAGATCTTTAGCCTCGAAGGCAGAAGCCCTGGGTTGGAATTCTGGCTCCATCACTTACTAGCTGTATGGTCTTAGACAAGTGACCTGATTTCCCTGTTGCCCCTTTCCCTTTTTGTAAAATAGGAATAATTATAGGGTTGGCTCTTAAGGTTCTTTATGAAGACTAAGTGGAAAAATACAGTTTAAAGTGGCCTGAAAATTGATCTCGCAGCAAATGATTTTAAAATGTTAGCTTTATTCTTTTACATAAAGGATTAGATCATTAGGAGCTTGAACATTATTAACTTGGAATAAACTTAAAGTTGTGATATTAGAATTATTGCTGTAAATGTTGTAAAAAGTCTCAACATTGTTGTAAAGCTTGTGCTAAAAATCAATCAGAGTGAGCACTAAAACAGAGGAACACTAGTCACATTGCAAAATAGGTTTCCCTGTGGCAAATGCTACAGCCACCTCTCAAAAATGAGAAACTCCATAGTTGACTGAGTTAGGAAAGCTAAATTGCTAATTCAAGATTGATTGGGAATCATGCATGTGCTGAAATTTTTATGTTAGGTAGAAAATATAATTTAATTTACAAGGCGTTGGTTTGCACCACATCTTGGGGTGAAATCTATGGCATGTTAAATTGAAGCTATTCACTTAAATGAAACTCATATCTATCGGTTAATGGGAGGTCGATTTCTATATGAGCTTCTTTAAGGAATGAGTTCTGACTTCATTTTACCACATAAGTAGAAACATATTTTTATGGCATTCACTTTTTATTATGGGGTTTATTATGTTCTATAAAATGCAACCTGTGACCATTTCACTGGACATATATTTGACAAAAATTGGGGTTGTATTGATCAATGACTTATGGTACTTATAGAAAAATTTTAACTGGGGAGAGCTGTCCACCCTATAATGACACCCACTATTTACACCAGTGATCACTTCAAAACTATGGACATAGAAAACATGAACAAAAAGGTTAAAGTAAGTAAAACATGAAGATAGGCATTACTCAGCACTGTGTAATAAAACTGTCAAGAGCATATAATCTTATATATGGAGCTCTTAGATTCTGATTAAGTGGTACTTGTTCTCTCTGAAATGTGATAGAGTTGGAGAGTTTCTTGATAAAAGGTCAAGAAAGGGAATCAAAGAATTATTGAGAGGGAGTTCAAAATGGTATTTAAAACATTTCCTGACATCCTCCACAGGTGGAGATTATATAGTATAGAGGGCATATGGTATGCGTTCCATTCAATTAGCGTGAATACCTTGTTATATTAGGAGAGTGCCAAGAGTTTGATAACCTCAATACTGCCTCTTTTTGGTCCTGGAATATCGATATATTTCTAGGGATCTTCTGTCATGCCTGCCCACTCAGGTGGTTTAGACAATAACCATTATACCCTGTTGAACTTAATCTTGAACAAAAATTCATGTAAGAATTAACTGCCTGGTTAAATAGTTCATTGGCTAAAAGAGAGTTTTCCAAGTTTATAGTTCTCTTCCTTTCCTACTCCACTCCTACTCCACTATCCTTAAAGTGACTCAATAATTTTTAATATTTTAGTTTTTGTTGTTATTGCAGTTAAAAGTTTACTTGAAGGGTGGAAATCAATTTTGAAACCAAAAACTAGATTATGTTCATCACTGTCGTTCTAGGATCTGGAATACACTAGATGCTTGATAAGTAAACTAGTAGACATCTTTGAAAAATTGTTGTTTCATTACATTAATGGAAGGTTTAGTCATTCAGAAGCTCAAGGATGATTAGTATGAATGGACCTGCCTTAGATATCTTGAGGTCTCCCACAAGTCAGGCTAGTAGCTCACCATTATTTTTCTGTTTTATTCACTGTGTTCTGACAACATTCTAAACTTCACATTTCCCGCCCCAAAGACTGACAGTTAAATGGGAGAAGATGACAAGTGAATAATAACATTACAGAGTTGCTGTGAGAAAACTTGGGAGGGGAAACTAACTTACCGTATTTTTCGGACCATAAGACACACTTTTTTTCCCCCAGAAGTGGGGGGAAAAAGTCCCTGCGTCTTATGGTCCAAATATAGCCTACACATATACTTTAAAAAAAAAGTTTTTTTACTTGCCCGGCTCTGTGTGGTCTCTGTGTGCTTCCCCGGCTCTAAAATGGTTCTAAATGCTGCTGTTTACTTTACAGGGTTGATTACATGTGTTTATGACTGTGATGTTGGGTTTTAATGCACATAAAATATTTTAGGACACTATTTGTTTCAGAATCTTTTTTTCTTCATTTCCCTTCTCTAAAAACTGGTGCGTCTTATGGTCCGAAAAATACGGTAATTTTCAGGGGAATCCAGGAAAGAAGAGTAGAAACTAGGTAGTGAAGCTTGGCCAGTTCCTAAAGGAGCCCATAAGTCATATTAAGGAGTTTGGACTTTACACTGATTACTAGCAATGATTACTAAAGATTCCTATCTTTATAGGTAATTTTTATTGCTTACATTTTGTTGCTGGATTTGTTTATAATAGTAGATAACGTTGTTTATAATAGTAGCTTTTCATTTCCTCTTTGATTTCTATCAAATATTTTTTAAAAATTATCTGCCAACCACAGGATTATCTGGCAGGTGATGTGGGGTTTAAATAACATTGTTTTAATTATGATGATCCTAGTAATAGATAAATGAAATTTCTTTTGCAAGTCTTCTCTAAGAACTCGTGCTTGTTTATAACATATTCTTGAATAAGATCCTTGTCCTACCTATCAAGTTGGCAATCTCTTGAGTGGCAATGGGATATACTCCTGACTGGCAGACTTTCTGAATGCGCTCATTCACTTTGAGTCTGACGATAGGACCTGTACTTGTTATATATTTGGCACCACTTACATAGGTCCTAAATTTTATATTATTGAATTTTCTCTATATACTTTTCCATGTTTCTGTAATATGCCACTCCACAATATACCACTTGGGAGAAGGATTATTTTGAGCTGAAGGCAATTAATAAGCAGCAAATGAAAAAAGAGCTTTTTCCTCCCACTATCTGCCTAAAAGCAGGACGTACGTTTCCCTTTGGGAGGGTTTTCTCTGTCCCCTCTCCTCCATCAGCAAGAGGACAGCTCCTCACTGGAGACAGATAGTTGGCATAGAGATGGTCTGCACAAATTTTACTAAAATAACCTATCTTCCATTGTTTTCTTCCAGATAATTACTTCCCATGATTTACCTACCTTTTCCTCATCTTGTCACTTCTCCAGAATTAATCACCCTTTATTAAAAGCTGTATAAGCCTTGGGTCTATCTACTACTTTGAGTCTCCACCCCCCCCCCCCCCCCCCCGTTATTGATTAAACTTTGGGGTAAATAAAATATTTTAGTGATTGCCTCATATGATTTTATTATTTTCTAAAGTATTAGGATACTTTTTAAAAACTTAGTATTACATTTTATCTTTAGTTAGAAATTATTTCAAACTTACAGAAAAGTTGCCGGGAGAGTGCAAAAAACTCTTGCTTATCTTTCTACCAGATTACTGTTAACCTTTTGCAGTGTTGCTTTCTCTAACCAATAGTTTTTTTATTTTATTATTTTTTTAAATTTTTATTTTTTAAATATATTTTATTGATTTTGTACAGAGAGGAAGGGAGAGAGACAGAGAGTCAGAAACATCGATGAGAGAGAGTCATCGATCAGCTGCCTCTTGCACACCCCTACTGGGGATATGCCCGCAACCAAGGTACATGCCCTTGACCGGAATCGAACCTGGGACCCTTCAGTCCCCAAGCCGACGCTCTATCCATTGAGCCAAACCGGTTTCAGCAATAGGTTTTTATTTTTTTATTTTATTTTAAATCTTGCTACTTGTTCCAATAATGTCCTTCATAACAATTTTCATTCTGGTACAAGATCCCAAACAGGATCAGGCATTGCATTGCTTTATCTCTCTCTCTCTCTCTTTATTGTTCACAGTATTACAGATATCCCCTTATTGTCCCCCTTCACCTAGCCCTTGCCCCTCCCTAGTCTTCACTACACTTCTTTTTTTTAATGAAGACCTCTGAGCCTTAAATTAAAATGTTAACATCAAATAAGATTTGTGTACCCTTTTTCCTTGTTAACCTTTTGTCAGCTTAATTCCCACATCTCGAGACAGAACCTTAAGAGGGTAGAGAAAAAGTTTTTCCCTCCCCTACTGCTCTATATTATTTCAGTGTTTATCATTTTTAATGGCTTGTATGCTCTGTATTGCACTATGTAAGTATTGACTGCAACATTGATTTATTTCTCTCACCTCTAGTTTTCACATCAGTGGTTTTGAGTCCTGGCTGGATGACAGAATGACCAGTGAGGCTTTTTAAAGGACCTGGATTTCTGGGGCCTATCCCAGATCAGACCCACGGAATCACACTGCCTGGCAGTGGGCCCTGAAAGCTAACATTTCAAAAACAGGGTCAAAACTTGAGGGAGGCAGAAGCAGTGGGATAAGGAATTTCTGAGGGTGGGGAATTTTCACGAAACTGACTTAGCAGGATATTTGCTAAAACAACCAAGGGGGCTAAGGACGAGCTCAAGAGCTAAGCCTAGTTAAACATCAGACTTAGAGGAACTAAGGAGAGAGTCTTTGTCAATAGCAGCAGCTACTACAAAATACAGCAAAGATGGTTCTAATGCATGCATCTGTAGTTGAGAATTGAAGCTTTGTTTCCATAGAGGCTTGATATTTTATTTAAATCTTCTCTTGGTTTGATGGGTCTGCAAATGGGCAGCTTTTCCCCCAAAACCTTTTCTTTTTTAGGCTGTTCTGGAGAGTACCATGGAACCAAAAGGAGACAAAACAAAGATCAAATAATTCTTGTTTTGAAGCAAACACACTTAGATGCCTGGTGTGTTCCAGGCGGTGTTCTCATTAGTGAGGCTATGGTGGTGAATAAGGCAGACAGACAAGAGCCCCTGCTCTTAGTTAGGGATGTCGTGGTCAAAGAGTAGAAAACAGTATACCAATAAGTGAACAATTTATTTCAGATCATGATAAACACTGTAAGAAAAGAAGACTATAATAGCCGGGACCGGTTTAGCTCAATGGATAGAGTGTCGGCTTGGGGACTGAAGGGTCCCGGGTTCGATTCCGGTCAAGGGCATGTACCTTGGTTGCGGGCATATCCCCAGTAGGGGGTGTGCAAGAGGCAGCTGATCGATGACTCTCTCTCATCGATGTTTCTGGCTATCTCTCTCCCTTCCTCTCTGTACAAAATCAATAAAATATATTAAAAAAAAAAAAAAGAAAAAAGAAAAGAAGACTATAATAGTGACTTAATAAAAGACCCTATTAAGGACAAAGGTTCCAATTGAAAAATTGTTGTCATAGGTTGTTTTTGGTCGTGCTCAAATTTGGGATCTAGCAATCCAGGCAGAGAAATAGCAGGTTCAAAGGCCAAAGTCCATGACAGGCTTGGCCTATTTGAGAAACAGAAAGAAAGCTGGTAGGACAAGAACATTGTAGGTAAATAGGTTGAGGGGTGTGGATAGGAATCTCATGTGATTTCAAGGTTTTGGACTTTGCACAACTGGCTCAATTACCCTTTTACTAGCAAATTCTTTTTTTTTTTTTTAATTGTTGATTACGGTATTACATATTTATCCTCATCCCCCCATTCCCATCCCAAACCCCTCCCCATGTGTGCCCCCACCCCCCTGTTGTCCGTGACCAATGATTAGGCTTATATGCATGCATACAAGTCCTTTGGTTGATCTCTCCACCTTACCTCCACCCTCCCCTACCTTCCCTCTGAGGTTTGACAGTCTGATCGATGCTTCCCTGTCTCCTGGTCTGTTTTTGTTCATCAGTTATGTTGTTCATTATTTCCTCTAGATGAGTGAGATCATGTGATACTAGAAATATAAGAACTGAAACTGAGACAAGCCATAATGGTTATGCTGAGAGGCAAATGAATCAGTCTGTAATGAGATTCTTTCTGGGCCAACAGTTCTTTTGAGTCCCAATTTCAGTGTCAAACAGTTCCTTATGTGTACATGTCAGCAATGATAGTCTGGGCAGTGGACAAATGGTTGTAATGCAGGTCCGACCCTCTCTGGTTTGGTCCTGGGCAACCTGCAGTGACGCACAGCTGTATCAGCAAATTCTTAAGATGGGAAGGCTAAGGTGGTTGGAGGGAAGCAAGAGATGCACATTAGGCAATAAGCTTCTGGATCTGGGAGAGGTTGCTGTCTCTCTCCCTCTTCCCATGGCTTTCCATATGTTGGCTTCAGGGTAGCCAGATTTTTTGCATGCTTGCATGTTGTTCAAAGTACTCCCAAAGGAGTCATCCTAAGGAAGAGAGCCTGGGTGTCCTAGACTCCATATCTTCATGGGAGGTGTGTCAAAGAATTGGCAGCAGTGTTTTAAAACCATCACATAGCAGAATCCCTTATATTGTTATCTTTCAATATTAGTAATCATTTCCTTTCAAAAACAATAGTGAATAGTACCTTGTTTTGGGGATTATTAATGCTATAGTACTTTTTCTGTTTTATATAGTTAAAATGGTTTCCTTAAATTTAACCGTTTGTTGACACTGTGTAGTGGTTCTAAAAGTCTTCACTAGGACCTTCTTCCTTACACTGTCAGCTGGTTGAATCCTGTAACACTTCATCAAATGCAATACAATATTAAAGACAGTGGAGCATTTTAAAAATGTGAATTGTTTGGAGTTCTGTAGCCCTGTCTTTAGAAGAGGTTTCCAGTTCTGGTTCTCATTTGTTTGCTAGAATGAGTTCTAAATCTGTTGGATAGTAAAATAAAAAAATTTTCAGTGGCTAAAATCTAAGGAAGTTTTTAAAGATCTATAACTTGTGTATTATTTTTGTATTTTGGAAATAGCAATTTTTTTTCTTTAAGTGACCTGGAATTTTATTTCTTTTCATTGGATTCTATTGGTAAGGAAATATAGGATTGTATTATTTTATATATGAGTGATTTTAATAATTTAAAATGTTTCTCAACCCTATGTGTTATTTACATTGAAAATATTTAGGAAAAAACCTATATATGCCCAGGTCCTACTACCAGAGATTCTGATTAGTTGATTTGGAGTGGGGTTCGGGTATAGGTCTTTTTTATAGCTCCCCAGGATATTCTATTATGAAGCCACATTCGAAACCCACTGCATCAAATTGTGGCGTTTGCTGATGCTGATTTTTGATCTTTCTAACAGGGAAAAAATAAAAAAATGGAAGGCCTGCCAGATGCTGCTGCTTTTGCAACTAAACTTAAAAATACTCTCATCCAGTACCATAGCATTGAAGAGGATAAATGGCGTGTTGCAAAGAAAACGGTAAATTAGTTTAATTGGGGTATATGTTGTCTAATGAATTGGTTAATATCTTTCAGAATAATATGGGAAAATGTGGACCATACTGCAAATGGCTGTGTGGGATAGATAATTTTCCTAATACAGTGGGTGGTTTAGCAGCTCATAAAGGAATAAACATAGTAATCCTGTACTGCTTTCAGTAGTTCTTTAGATATTGGACATGAGAATAGACTTGGGCAACAAGAGCCTAAAGAATAGCCTGTTAAGTCAACAAATAGAGTGTGTCATTGTCAATTTAAGGAAGTATAGTAATTGGTAGTTTGGAATAGTTTCAGATATTTCAACAAGCTTGTGAGAGTGACCAGTTAGTATTTTTAGCAACAGGACGTGCCCAAATTATCTTATGGCTGAGTGTTGACAGAGCCAATCCTAGAATCCAGGACTCTTTCAGTTAAGTGCTTTAGCTATTCTGATATGCAGAATTTCTTGGGTAATTATCAGAAAAAGATGTAGGGATCAATTCAAGGTAGCACTGTCAGAACATATGTGAATTGTTTAATATTTTAAAAGATGTGAGCGAGTTCAGAATGAAATATTTAGGGTTCTTAATGTCTTATTCTAAATTTACCAGTAGACAAATTGGAATAAGGAAAATAATAAATGGCCAGTGAGATAGTGCCATCACTGAATCTTCACAGTATTTGGGTCACATTAAGCTACTGAGAAATTTTTCTTAGAGGTCTGGTTTAAATAAAATGTGAGGATTTTAGGATAGAGAAGAAATTCAAATGTGGATCATGTGATGGTATAAATAACTTTAAGTATCTCCAAATATTTACTTAAGTTTTAAAGCAAAGACTAATACTCTAGACGTATGAAATTGTCAGTTTCATATCCAAGGTTTCACTTATATTATTGTTTTTCTAGAGAGATGTCACAATTTGGAGAAAACCTTCAGAAGAATTTAATGGATATCTGTGAGTAAATTCTAGTAGTTTTAGGTAGCTCTTAAGACATTGCTAAGTGTTTTATACATACACACACACAGAAACATTGATTACTATTATTGCCAGTAAAATTAGGCCTCTCCTTTTAAGATTTAAACTTTCTGAGAAGCAAGTTACGTCATGAAGTCAGAGCCTATTTCCATAACCCTTCTGGACTGAGTTGATAGTGAGGGGATCATAAATAATGATGTGAAATGACTGATATGATCTTAATTTCTTAGCATCCTGTCTAATGAAAGGCTAATATGCAAATTGAATGCACGGCATAATGACCAGTTGCTATGTCACACACTGACCACTGGGGGCAGATGCTGAATGCAGGAGCATCCCCCTGCTGGTCAGTGCACTCCCACAGTGAGTGCAGCCCAGTGGTGACAGGAACCTCTCCTGCCTTTGTAGGAGCACTAAGGGGAGCGAGCCTAAGCCATTAATTGGACATCCCCTGAGGGCTCCCGGAATGCGATAGGGTGCAGGCCGGGCTGAGGGACCCCTAGAGTGCATGAGTTTTTGTGCACTGGGCCTCTGGTCTCTCTTTCCACACGCACACAATTAAAAGCCTAATAAGCTAAGCATTAGGCCAGTCGCTATGATGTGCACTGACCGCCAGGGGGCAGACACTTCAACCAGTACGTTAGCTTGCTGCTGCAGTCTGGCCAATTGTGACTGTGCAAAATGGGCCGGACATGCCCTGGAACTCTCTTGCCCCGATTGTGCACCGGTGGGGTCATTCGGCCTGGCCTGGGCCCTCTCACAATCCAGGACCCCTCGGGGGATGTCGGAGAGCCGATTTCGGCCCAATCCCCGGAGGCCTGGCAGAGGGACCCCACTGGTGTATGAATCTGCACTGGGCCTCTAGTTATATATGATTCTTCTAATACTCTTCTACATTTACTCAGTGCTATAGCATACTTTATGCTAGGAATTTATCTTGGAGAAATCATCAGAAAGACAATAGTTAAGTTCTTATCTTTCGCATCACAGCTTTGCCTATATATTAAAAATTAAAAACAACTTGAATAATCAATAGTTGATGAATGATTAAATTATGGAACATGTGACATTTTACATTAAAAAAATTTTTTTCAAATATTATTTAAAAACATAAAAAAATGCTCACCATATAATCTAAAGTGAATATTCAACTGTATATAACACATTTGTGAGTTGACTTTTTATATTTTTATATGTTGAAATGTTTTTATTAAACACCAAATGGTGATTTTGGTGATTTTTGTGGGTGGTTTTATTTCCATTTTTTATTTGCAGGTAGTTGAACATGAATTATCCCTTTAACCAGAAAAAAATAATTGCTTTTTAAAACCAGTGGGGACAATTGCTTTGTGTAATTATAGTTAAACTAGAGGCCCGGTGCACAGATTTGTGCTTCAGTGGGATCCCTCGGCCTGGCCTGCGGGGATTGAGCCCAGACCAGCTGTCTTACATCCCCTGAGAGGTCCCAGATTGCGAGAGAGGGCTCAGGTCAGGTCGAGGGACCCCACCAGTGCACAAGTGGGGCCAAGGAGAAACCATGGGGAGGCCTGCAGTCCCAATTGGCTGGACCCCAACAGCAAGCTAACCTACAGGTTGCAGCATCTGCCCCCTGGTGGTCAGTGCGCATCATAGCAACTGGTTGAATGGTTGAAGGGTCAGACACTTACCATATACTTTTATTATATAGGATCTTCACTTGGGACTCAGTCCTTTCTAAAATGAAACTGGGGTTTGGCCCCACTTACTATATACAGAATGTTTGAAGTGAAATACCAGAGATAGCGTTTCCAGAAAGATGAGTCATACAATATTTATGATGAGGACTGAGAAACTGAGGGTGGATTAAGCATTGTAGGCAAGGGTGAAAAGTTAATCCTTTAGATCAATAATTCCCAGAGAGGGTTGAAAAGAGTATGTAGCATTATGCTTGGTGGTTTGAAAGGACTTCATACAGGAGCTAATCTGTGAGCTGAGTCTAAAAGGAATAATTGGTATTTCTTAGGGAATGGAAGACTGATTCATATTCCAGGCAGAAGGAATTGCATCTTCTACATACACACAAATGGGAAACTCTTCAAGTTAGTTTAGAGAAGTAGAAATTGTGTTTGTATAGCTGAAACATAAAGTATGAGGGTGGGGAGAACAATATATGTGCAAGAACTTTGAATGCTAAACTAAGGGATTCAGTATGGCACAATCTCCCCACCTCCCAGGCCCTCAAAGGGTTTTAAATTTACTCTAATAATAGTGTTAAGTAAAATAAATAAATAAATATACCAATTAAAAGAAGGAAAAAAATAGTGTTAAGTAGCATTGTAAAATGAGAGCAATAAGAGTTCAAAGAAGAGGTTTTACCCTTGGAGTCCATGACTTGCTTCTTGAAGCTCCCTAAGATTGTATACAAAGTTTTGTGTTGGTGTGTATATTCCTGGGAAGACCTTTGTGGCTTTTCATATGCTTAAAGAGGTGTGATCAGAAGATCCAGAGACTGGTGGAACGTTGAGTTGGATACAGTGCATAAACTAAAGACAAAGCACAGGAGTTGAAAAGGGCAAATGAACATGAAAGAGATTTAGTGATGGTGATGGTAGATGATGATGATAGTGATGACAACATTTGAGAACCAGGTATTATTCTAAGCACTTTACGTATAGGAAATCATCTTGTTAAAGCATGGTGACTTCTTAATTCTGGCTGTTGGAATAGGGTTAAGAGAAAAAGAAGATCAAAGTTGAATCCCAGATTTCTAATTTGGATGACTGGATTATTTTTTATTATCCCCACTAGAGGCCCGGTGCACTAAATTTGTGCACAGGGAGGCAGGGGGTGGAGGGTGAGTGTCCCTCAGCCCAGCCTGCACCCTCTCCAATATGGGACATCCCTTTCACAGTACAGGACTGCGGGCTCTCAACTGCTCGCCTGCCTGCCTGTCTGTCTGATTACCCCTAACTGCTAATGCCTGCCAGCCTGATCACCCCCTAACCACTCCCCTGCCAGCTTGGTCACCCTTAAATGTCCTCCTCTGCAGGCCTGATCACCCCTAAGTGTCCTCCCCTGCTGGCCTGGTCTCCCCTAACTATCCTTTCCTGCAGGCCTGGTCACCCCTAACTGTCCTCCCCTGTAGACTTGGTCCCCCCAACTGCTCTCCCCTGCTGGCCTGATTGCCCACTACTGTCCTGCACCCCCCTGTTGGCCATCTTGTGATGGCCATCTTGTGTCCACATAGGGGCAGTTATCTTGTGTATTGTAGTGATGGTCAATTTGCATATTACCTCTGTTATATAGGATTCCCCATCCTCCACCCCAAGTTAGAGAACACAGAAGGCAAGAGCAGATTTAGGATGGGAGAGATCATATAAGTTAGAACTTGAAATTTGCAAAATGATAAAATAGCTTCAGATGTTTTAAAGAAAACAAAAAAGACACCCCCCTCCCCCCCAAAAAAATTGTTGCTTGATAGAGTTAAAGCCAGTCTGTCTCTCATTTCTTCTCTTCACTTTTCTTTCCTCCCAGAGGTAATTGCTACCTCGGTAAAAGCTCTCTGTGCTATTTCTGTTTCATATTTTGACTATATCTGTTTATGTGTTTCCTTTAGTAACTTGCTCCATATTTCATTTTCAGGATTTAGTCATGTGGTCTATTCTTTCACTTTCCTATATATATATACCACAATGTGTTTATCTGTTTGCATATTTCCTACTTATAACTTTACTAGAGGCCTGGTGCACGAATCCATGGGTTCCCTCACCCTGGCCTGTGTCCTCTCACAATCCGGGACCCCTCGGGGGATATTGGACTGCCAGTTTCGGCCCAATCCCTGCAGGAAATTGGGCCGAAACTGGCAGTCCAACATCCCTTGAGGGGTATAACAGTGCATGAAGCAGCAGGCTGCAGGGAAGGAGCCTGAGCTGCTCACCATGGAGGTGGGAGAGGCACATGCCACTGCAGCTGTGGTCGCCAGCCATGAGCCCGGCTTCTGGCTGAGCGGCATTCCCACTTTGGGAGTCCACTGACCACCAGGGGGCATCTCTTTCATTGAGCGTCTGCCCTCTGGTGTTAGTGTGTATCATAGCGATTGGTTAACTTGTCATTTGGTCACTATAGGCATATATGTATGTGTGTGTGTGTGTGTGTGTGTGTATGTGTGTGTTTGTGTGTATGACTAGAAGCCTGGTGCATGGATTTGTGCACAAATATGGTCCCTCAAACTGGCCTGGGGGGATCAGTGGACCTCTAGGCTACTGCAGCCTAGCCTTACCTGCTAGCTTGTCGGGCTCCAGCCCTGCCTTTGCCATTGCTTGCTGCCTCAACCACTGTAACCCCACACAGTATGAAGTAGTGTATGAAGCAGCAGTCAGCTGGGGAGGAGCTGGAGCCTGGGCTGGGGGCTGCACAGCTCCTGCCCATCCTGGCCCTTCTGCACCTGCTGCTGCCGCCGCCACTAGGTAGGCTTGCTGCCACTCCACTGCGATCCTAGGGTGATACTGGCACGCCCATGATGGCGCAGCTGCCACTCATCATCACATCCTTGTTCCTTGTGTGTCATCGGAGAAGTTGCTGTGGGCTCGCGCCCAGTCAGTTCTTTCCCTATCCCAGTCCAGATTGGGGAGGGGAGTGCAGGGGGAGTATCCGCGGGAGAGACTTGTGCCTCCATAGCTGCGCTTGCCAGTGCTCTCATGCTCGTCTGTCAGCTGAATGGCGCTCCTACTGTGGGAGTGCTCTGACCACCTCAGGGCAGCTCCTGCATTGAGCATCTGCCCCTTGTGGTCAGTGTATGTTATAGCTACCGGAGGGTAGCTTTTATATATATGGATAGGTTGTTGTCACTTCTTCCCTATAAAGTAGGGGTGTCGAACTCAATCAGAGAAGGGGCCAAAATCTAAAATCCAGCCTAAATCGCGGGCCGAATGGTTTACTGAACAGTTATAAACTGTCATTGTGATGGAAACGCAGCGGAGTGCAGTGATGACAGCGCGGTGCGGGCCACATTGCAAGGCCTGGCGGGACGGATTTGGCCCGTGGGCCTTGTGTTTGACACATATGCAAGAATAGTGCTACAGTAAACTTAGTATGTCTCCTACACGTGTGTGATTTTATTGGGGTATGTAACTGGGTCTTAGGGATGTGCATCATTCAACTTCACTAACCATGTCAAATTGCTCTCTAGAGTGGTGATAGAAGTTTGAGAGTTCTCATTCCCTTCCACGCACTATTTGGAAGTTTATAATTTCTGCCAATCAGAGGCACATGAGATGGTATCTTACTAGTATTTAGTTGATTATAAGTGAAGATGAACATCTTTTCTAAATTTATTGACATTTCAGGTCAACCTTATCATGTCCTTTTGCCCATATTTTTTTTTCATTGACTTAATAGGAAAAAATTATATACCCTGTTTAATAATTATATTCTCTGTTTATGTGTTGCATATATATTCTTCCAGCCTATAAAAATGTTTATACTAATAACATGTTAGAATATAACAGAAAAGAATAGCATGCAAAATAAATGGAAACATTACAGAGTTCTGCAGATTGTTTTTGGTCATGGCATAACATCACAGTACTTTACCACAGTACTTTATGTAATCATGTTCATGATTACATAAAATGTAGCCTTCAGATTTCTTATTACATTTGAGGACAAAGAATACATTCTGAAAGGTTTTTGTGATTTACTCCCTTTAATAAATATCATTGCCCTAGCTGGTTTGGCTCAGTGGATAAAGCATCGGCCTGCGGACCAAAGGGTCTCGGGTTCGATTCCAGTCAAGGGCATGTGTCTTGGTTGCAGGCTCCTCCCTGGCCTAGGCCCTGTCAGGGTACATCCAGGAGACAACCAATCGATGTATTTCTATCACATCAATGTTTTTCTCTGTCTTTTCCTCTCTCTTCCTTTCTCTCCAAAGGATCAATGGAAAAATATCCTCGGGTGAGGATTAACAATAAAAAAATCAATTAATCTTCATTGACATGTTTGCTCTAGTTAGTTCAGAACTAAGGCATGCTGAAATTTTTCATTCAGTAGAATTTGACTTTTTTTTTTATTTCCAGTTTCAAAGCCCAAGGTATTATAGATGGTGTTGTTAATGATATAATGGACCATATACGCCCAGGTCCCTGTCGCTTGGATTGGGACAGCTTAATGACTTCATTGGACATTTTGGAGAACTTTGAAGAGGTATTTGTTTAGAAATATTACTTCAGATTGTGTGTGTGTGTGTGTGTGTGTAGTGGGAGAGAGAGAGAGAGAGAGAGAGAGAGAGAGAGAGAGAGAGGGAGCGCACATGTGTGTATGGGAGCATGTGTACACACTTGCATTCATTGCTTTGAGAAAAAGTAATCATGGCAGAGGTCTCACAGGGGACTCCTTGCTGCCTTTTAAAAAGCTTGAGTTTTCTCAGATTGCTTAATAAGTGTTAGTCAGAAGTGAGTTTATTTTCTGAAATCTAAGATTCTGAAAACACCACTATTACTGGTATATGCAGGTTTCCAGGTAAATTGTATGTAAGTTTTCTGTTGAAGCCAAAATCAAAGACCAAAGATGGCATTCTAAATAAAAGTGGCTTCCTGTCTTTTTCTATTTGTATTAATTTCTTGCCATGTTTGAATTTATTTTTAAATATATTTTTATAGATTTCAGAGAGGAAGTCAGAGGGAGAAAGAAATAGAAACATCAGTGGTGAGGGAGAATCACTGATCAACTACCTCCTGCATGCCCCCTACTGGGGATCGAGCCTGCCACCAGGGCATGTGCCTTGACAAGAATTGAACCATGACCTCCTGGTTCATACGTTGATGTTCAACCACTGAGCCATGCGGGTTGGGCTAAACATCTTTATTGAATCATGTGGTGTTTTAGTGAATGTATTTGTGTATTTTATCTTAAACAGCTAAGGGCTACACCATCTACTTCCATGTTGAATATCATAAAGGCTACAAAGCGACTATTGAATTAGAGATTTGGATATGAAGTAACATCTTCTTTTGTGTGTGTGTGTGTGTGTGTGTGTGTATATATATATATATATATGTATAAATCTAAACCTGTCAGAATCACTGTAAGAATTATTACTACTAATTATAAGACATTTTAGATGAGTATCAGTTCCTTACTAAGGATGAATTTATAATCTATGAGTCTATGTATTTGTCCCTAGAGTAGTAAGTAACATCTGTTAACTTTTGTCCTTCAGAATTGCTGTGTGATGCGTTACACTACTGCTGGTCAGCTTTGGAATATTATTTCCCCAAGAGAGTTTGTTGATTTCTCCTACACTGTGGACTATAACGGAGGGCTTTTATCCTGTGGTAATGATCTCAAAATCATATACTGTCGTCTTTCAATTTGTTTTAAATATTTGAGATTTCTAGGCTGGGTTTTTTTTTCTATGCAAGATGTGTTCTCATATTTATTTTATAATCCTAAACTTTGTTTATAAATGCTGAACCCTACGGATTAAAATAACAGTATCAAGAAGGATTTTGGAATTTAGGTTTTTATTTTCAGTTACATGCTATCCTCCAGGTCAGTGATCGCCAACCAGTGGTCCGTGAGGTCTGAAAGGTTGGCAACTGCATGTTTAAGGAAACTTTTGGACCACTGGTGGTCTGTGAGGTCCTAAAGGTTGGCGACCACTGCTCCAGATCACAGCTAACAAACATGGATCACATGACTGCCTCTAAGAAAGATCCAGTAAATGAAAAATAGCTTCTTAGTCACACACACACACACACACACACACACACACACACACACACAAACTTGGTATGTGTTAGGCCAGTGGTCAGCAAACTCAATAGTCAAGAGAGCCAAATATCCAAACATCAACAGTACAACAATTGAAATTTCTTTTGAGAACCAAATTTTTTAAACTTAAACTTCTTCTAATGCCACTTCTTCAAAATAGACTTACCCAGGCTGTGGTATTTTGTGGAAGAGCCACACTCAAGGGGCCAAAGAGCCGCATGTGGCTCGCAAGCCGCAGTTTGCTGACCCTGGTGTTAGGATATTCTTCTCTGAGTTGTGTACAATTTTTCTTTTGAAATTAAAAATAGTGCTATTAGAAGGTTCCTGCTTCCTAAGATATATCTATAGGTAAGTTAATATGTTTTCTGTATATACTTGAGTTGCCAGTTGTAGTTAAACATCTATTTGTTTATTTCTGACCAGCTACTAACAGAGTTGGATATGGGAGTGCCTAAGGAGAGTGGTGGTACCATAGGTTTTTGTTTTTAATACATTTTTATTGATTTTAGAAAGGAAGGGAGAGGAAGAGAGAGATAGAAACATCAATGATGAGAGAGGATCATTGATAGGCTGCTTCCTGCACACTCCCTACTGGGGATCAAGTTTGTAATTCCAGGCATGTGCCTTGACTGGGAATCGAACCATGACCCTCTGGTTGATAGGTTGATGCTCCATCACTGAACCATACTGGCTGGGTCCATAGGTTTGTTATTGGCACCCTTGAGGCCCAGATGCTACATCCAAGATTCCTCGTTTCCAAGGAGTTACCAAGATGACATGATGCCATCCATTCTAAAGGCAATTAGAGTTTCTGCATTACCTATCTTAGCTCCCTGACAGAAATCTACTTGCTAATTTTTTAATTTATTTTTTCATCCATGGTCCCTCTTAGGGCTGAATTTTCATCTACAGGGATAACAAGACATATTGAAACAAGAAATCTTAACATTTTAAATGAGAGTTTTAGACTTATGTCAGTCACTCTGTTAATAGTGTTATTTTAAAATTGCCTTGCAGGGATCAGCCTTGACTGGAGTGAGAAGAGAGCAGCATTTGTTCGTGGATATAACCATCCGTGTGGTTGGTTTTGTGTTCCACTTACAGACAATGCAAACCAGAGTCTTTTGACAGGCTATATTCAGACGGATCTGCGTGGGATGATTCCTCAGTCTGCAGTAGATACAGCCATGGCAAGCACTTTAATCAACTTCTATGGTGATTTACAAAAAGCCTTACAAAAGGCATAAGACATTTAGACTTGTAGTACTATGACCTTCTGAATCAGCTCCTTTCAGCTTCCTGGCCTGTAAAAATCATCACCTTTTATTCTCATCTTTATAGCTTGTGGAAGAATTTGAGATATTTTTGGGTTATTTTATTCCTAAAGTAAATAATTATCTAAGAGAGGGCATTGTAGTTTTCTGAAATAGTTATTTGCACTTTGTTTGGTATGGCAGTCTGTGTGTCTATGAATGGAGAGCATGACAGAAATCCACCTTGAAGAAGATAATAGGTCTTTTATTCAAACTCTTAAGATAATGAATAGTGCCTCAATATGAATTTTGGCTGCTTGGAATTTAGAGAGAGCACAAGCTTCATGCTGTTAGGTTAAAATAATCTATTTTCGAGCTTTATGAATATTTTGTAAAAGTTTTAATTTTTTTAAAGTTAAATATTAGTGCTTTCGGTATGCTCTATGAGTTTGCCAATATTTTGGAGTAAGGAAAGGCTCTTTATATTTTATAAATATGAACTTGATTGTCAACTGACTTGCACTGCTCCAAGTATTGAAAAGATCAGAAATAAATGGGTAGATATTATAGTAACTATAGATTCAAATCAAATGCAATTCAATTTTGATACCTAGATAGCATTATTTTGTGAATATCTTTAAAAATACGATTGTTTTTTATGTGCATTTATTTTGGGAGTCTTAAAACATTTATGCATGAAGGAAGCAATACAAAAACTGCCAACTATGTGATGGGGACACATCACTGATTGAACAGTAGTATGAGTTTTGTGAAGTGGCTGGTAGTATCTTGTATTTAGCAACAGGGAATTCTCTCTCTAGAAGGTCAGATTTAATGAATGTTCTGTACATGTTTCAGTTTTAAAAATATCACTCAACTCAAAGTGTTACTAACTACTTCATAAACATTAATAATTGTGATGAAACTTTTGTCTGGAACTATAACATACATTCAGAGATTTACCCAAATGCTAGATGAGTCATTTTGTAACTAGAATGAACAATAATAATTGGTCCCTTGATTCTGTGGCTGCCTTAAAAGAACATTCTACATGATTTTAACATCCCAAATGACTCTGGCTTTTGAATTGTCCACCTAGTTTACTTCTAAAATAAGAACTTGAGGCATCTCAATGTGTCCAGGCAAATTTTTGTATGTTATCTGTTTGTGTACATGCACACATCTTGAAATTCATTTCATTATTCAATGTGAGTTCTTTCTGAATTATTATCATTTTATTTTCTTTGTGTGTGTGTGGTTAATACAGGCAGATTTTTGTATGAATCGGTTTGTGTGCCTGCACACATCTTGAAACCCATTTCATTGTTCAATGTACTTTCTGCGTTATTATTATTGTATTTCCTTTTTGTGTGTGGGTTAGTAGAAGTATGCTCTGGAAATGCATGATCTGGAAATGCATGCCAGAGAGGCTGCAAAAAGCACAAGAGCATATGGTGGTTCAAGTACATGAAGGTTAGATCTGTGTTTTACTTTAATGTGCTTTCCTGAGTGTAAAGAAAGCGTAAGTCATAGATCCTCAGACCCATTTTGATAAAATGAGAAAAGTTGAGTTGGTTTTGTCTTTATATTTTTGCTATTAGCAATGATGTTTTAAAGAATAATAAATAGACAAATAAATAAATAAATAAGTAGTAGTACTACAGTATCCATGGTGAATATCTCACAAGTTTTAGACTGAAAATAATTTGTTTCAAGAACTGACAGAAACAATGTGTAAATGATCCTATTTTCTTAGCTTGAAATTTATTAATATTTTTTCTAAATTGTAACTTTGTTGCTGGATTTTTCTCCCACTTTTTCTTCTTCTTGTAATAGGGAAAAAAACTCAGTAGTTTAGTTTTCAGTTTCCTATGGAAATTTATTAAATGTTAGTTTTGACTTTATGTGTTTTTTTATTTGTTTTCATTAATGTAGAGAAGGAAGATTCTTTTATTGAAGCATTATTAGATGGAGAAATACCAACAGATGTTCAGTTATAAGGTGCCCAGATTGGGTAAAGGATTTGCAACAGTATTGTAGGTAAGGGCTGTGATTGCCTGATCTGGGAACCCTAAACACAAATGAACTGTCCACTCTCAGTTACTCTAATGTTCCCTTTGTCCTATTCCACTTATACCTCTGAATGATTACATAATCCACTGTTTCCTGTAGACCAACTGCAGGTAACAGGATACTCATAGAAAAATTCTCATTGCAATATTGAGTCATATATATTCAAATTTATATTCGAATTACCTAAAATTTATATGCAGTTTCTAAATGGCACTTCAGATCTACTGGGCTCTTGTATAATATACTTAAAACAAACAGCTTTATTTTATGAGGTGTAATTTACATGCTATACAATTTGCCGGTTGTAGGTATATAGTCCAGTGATTGTTTAATACATGTATAGTTGTGCAGCCATCACCATAATCCAGTTTTAGAACATTTTCATCTCCCCAAAAGACATTTTTGCCTGGTGCAGACTCATAACTAACCAAAGTTTAGCACAGTTGTCAGTATGGAGAAGATGAAAAAAGATTATAGAATAGGATTTTGTTTTGTTTTTTAAGGTAGAGTTGTATTTGAATCTAAGCTCAGGAACCTTGTGTTAATATATTGAAATATGTTATCTCCAAGTACCATAATGATAAAAATTTAAGAATGTGGGTTGGGATTAATGAGTCTGCTGTTTCTATAGGATTGTTGTAGAATAGAAAAAAGAATATGAAGCCATATGTCATTTTAAATTTTCTAGCAGCAATATTAAAAAAATAAACAGCTGGGGTTAACTTTAATAATATAGTTCATTTAATTCAATAGATCCAAAATATCTTTTCAACATGCAATCAATATTAAAAGTCATTAAGCTATTTTATATTCTTTTATATGAATTCCTTGAAATCTGGTGTGTATTTTACTAATGTGGACTTGCCACATTTAAGTGCTCATTATCCACATGGGACCAGTGGTCTGTACTAAATAGCACAGTTCTGTAGTGCATGTATTAATGTGTTATTCTATAATATGAAGTAGAGAATTTCATGAAATTACCCTTAAATACAAAGCCTTTTCTAATTACCAGAGCTTTCCGTGCTGACTAAATTGGGACTGCTGAACATTAGAAATATATCACTTAGAAGTGCAATATAATAAAAACTATAGCCCTCCCAAATTTCCTTTAAAGATGACTTTTCGTGGGACAGTTAATGAAAGCATATAATCTGCCTTGTTATTATGTAGTTATTTTCTCTTGCTTACAGCTAGTTTGTATTAGAAATGTATATACAGGAATACTACTTGGCATAGCACTGTTTTTAGTACATGGTACTTATTTTTTTTTTTTAAGGAAATTAATTTCATACTAGAAAAGGTAATTTATCATAAGTGATACTTTTGCATGAAATACTAGTTTTATTGATAACTCTTGATTGGTTAACTCTTGATGTTTGACATAATAATCAGCAAAAATAATTATGAGAATTTAGTGTTCTGCAGTTATGTATAATAGAAACTTCTACAGTGTTATAGAGGTTGTAAATGTTAAAAAAAATCTCTTCATTTCACTGTTTATTGAGGCTGGGTATATTTGAAATTGTAGATTTCTATGTCTGAAATCGTCTCCCAGTTAAAAAAAAAAAAAAGCTTTTAGGTGTGAGAAATTCCCTTTATAGATAAAAATTTTACCTGTTTACTCAGGAACATACTAGCGTCCTTAAAATGTTAAAATCCAGCGTCTTTTTTTATTTAGTAGGTACTATAGCTATCCCAACCCTATGGTCAAATGAATAGAACCTAGGGAAGTTTGGGGAATGGACCGGACTTCCATTAGAACCTGTATTATTTGTCCGATGTACAATATCTCCCTTGCCTTTATTTTTTTTACTTTTATCCCTTGCCTTATTCAGCTTCTAGAGGTAGGGGATGGTGGGATCTGAGTATGGAAGCAGCAGTAATAAATTAATCCCAGAACACAGGAAATTGGAATTATGATGTCTTCATTATTTTGTTGTTTCCAAAGATTTTTACATGTATGATTAAATAAAAATTCATCTCTTGCAATTTATCTCTTGCTGCCATTTCTGTTTGGATTTGTTTACCTTCTATAATTGAAACTTTGTAGTCTTGAGTGGAGGCCTAGGCTGGCCAGGGCAGGTGGAAAGCTTGGCTTCCCCATTGCTGGAGGAAACCCTAGCTTGTTCTCTCCAGCTCTGTGGCTGCCGCCATTTTTCTTGGGATTTATCTTCTATAATTGAAACTTTGTAGCCTTGAGTGGAGGCCTAGGCTGGCCAGGGTGCGTGGAAAGCTTGGCTTCCTTTATTGCTGGGGAAGCCCATGCCTCTCAACTGCTCTATGTGGCTGCAGCCATCTTGGTTGGTATTAATTTGCATACTTTCTCTGATTGGCTGGTGGGCATGGCTTATGGGTGGATCGCAGCGATGGTTTATTTGCATATTACTCTTATTAGGTATGATGTTTAAATGTGTTAATTTGATTAGGAATTATGGTGATAATTTTATTTGGAGTTTTATAAAAGCTGGAAGAGATTACAAAGAAGTGCTTGATCTGTGCTATAAGAAAGCAATTATGAATACCATGGATAGTATGCATTAGAAAATATGACTACTAAATGGTTTAAACAAATAGGGAGTTATTTTTCTCATAAAAAAGCTGGGTATAGGTAATTGCTGCTAGTGTTTTATCTATCAGCCAAGAATTCAGGGCTTCTGACTCAGTTCCTCATTTTTAACTCACAGTGTTGAGGTGACTGACCAGCTGTGGACATTACATGTGTGCTCCAGTCAGGAAGTAGGGGAAGGCATGACACCCTTCATCTGTGTCTTTTATCTGGAAAGCAAAAGCTTTCCCAAAAGCTTCCAGTAGGTTTTCTTTCTAGTAGTCTGGGTGGCAGACTACTCATGATTACTCCTAGCTGTAATTGTGGCTGGAAAGGCAAACCTAAAGATTTCCAGCCTTTTGGAGAGAGGGCATGACTCTGGATAGCCAGCCATAGCATCAGTGGATCAGCTCTGGGAAGTGTGTATAAGGTTCTTTCAGATGTCAATAGGGGAATGACAGACTCCCAAAATAGAAGTGAAAATAGCAAAGTAGTCATTCACTTCTTCATGAAACATTTTACACAGCTATCCTTAATTGAGGTAGTGAGGTAATGGAGCATCCTCTGTAGGTTAATGGTGTCACATGACATCCAACATGAATGTTTGTATTACACCATGTTCCTATTCCTTAGGAGCAAAGGGTCCACTATAGATGAAGGCTCCTATAGTCGGAGATGACAGAAAATGGATGGAAAATGTGAACTGCCTGTGTATCCCAGGAGAGAGGGTACATCCACAGTACTGTTATCAACTGCACAGGTGGCTTAGTGGCGTGTAGTATTCTTTTTCCTTTCTTTTTTTTAATTCTAAGAAGGTTTTAGGACATTTCAGAGGTAGTAGAAATGAGCCAGTTGGGCAATGTAAGCTCAGGAAACAAATTACAGAGGCAGGAGGGCCCTTGGATCTTAGAAAGGCAAAGGCGATGCACCTTGGTGGGAAGGGGAAGAGAGAGGTGCTTCCCAAGAGGGACCACGGGTTTTGTATTCTCAAAATACTGGAGCAAATGTAGTGTACAAGCACCAAAATAGACTTTCCACTCATTTGATGGTATTCTTTCTCAGGAGCTTTACCTTCCTACTTAGGTTTTGCTTTAGTGACATCCCCGAAGTGACAGCTGATTTTTTTTTTAAAGGAAGTAGTCAAAGGGTTGTGCAAAGCGAGGTTGAAATAAAAATTTGTTTCATATAGTCAAAATGGACTGGCAGATGGGAGAGGTTTTTTCCCAAGCACTTGCCTCAATTAAAATGTCATTTATTAGGCTATGTGTGTCTTTTCAACAAAATGAGGATTTGGGATTCAATGGAAGTAGCAAGCTGTGATTCTGAGGGTAACTCTGCTCTCATATCTCTCTCTCAAAGCTTTCACACAAATGATTGCTAATTGAGTGGCTGAGCTTAAGAAGGACTTTCAGATCTTTACAACTCATGTGGCTAACCAGCAACTTCTTAGAGTGAGCATGGGGTTTTGTCCCTCTCATTCTTAGGTCCTGTAAATTCTAAAGCATCATCATGAAGTGATGACTGAATAGCACTTGGTCCAAATAATACTAATTTCACATTAGGATTATGTCCTTAGGTTTCCCAAAACACAAAAAGGGGATTTGTGTAGTGTTACTGAGGGGGAAAAAAAATCACAATTGAGACTGATTATGCAGCTATCAGACATGGGGAGATTCTGCAAAAATGTTGGTGCTATAGTGCTAGGTTGATACCAAAACATTACATTATAATTACAAGTCTGGAAGAAAAAATAAACAGGAAAAGAATGCTTGCCGTTGGGAGATGTTATGATGTTAATTTCCTTTGTTTTCAAATCTTTACAATGAAAAATCAGTTTCTGTGTGAATTGTTGCATTTACCTTGTACTCTGCGAAGTGACTTTCCAGTGCAGAGAGCACGAGATTGGACTATGAGGTGGGCAGCCCAGGTCTCTTTTCAGCCACTAACTGTGACTTCAGGTAAGACATGTTCTTTTTGGGTGTCATATCTCTTTAACAAAATGACTGTGTTGGATTAAATGATTACTGAGTTCCCCTTTTAATAGTGTTATGACTTTAATGACATTACTGTATAGTGTTAAAAAATGCTATGAAATGAATAATTTCATCTAAGAGAATGGGAAAACACTCAAGGAATGATTCAACTCCATATTTCAGATGTAAGAGGAACATCCATTGTGTTACTCGACTTGTAACATTTCAAAGCACAGAATGCACAGTTTTGGTGGGCTCCTAGATGATTTATTACCATACTGTACGTGCAGATTGCTTTACAGATTTCCCAACAGCAAGATAATATGCTTTTGTCATGTTTTGTTTTGCTTTTTTGACACATCTAGGTGACCTACTCAAACAACCCTGGCCCTGGATAAGGTTAGTTTCAACAGTTTGCCAATATGTATTTTGCCTCACGTTGCATATTATTTCTTTATGTTCCTGGAAAACACCCAAAAAATGAGCCTATGTAGTCATTTAACCATGTTATTCAACTTAAGTCCAATAAGAAGCTACAGTTGCGTGTGGCTCTCGTGTTGCCTGCCCCAGCTTTGGGCAGCTCAGCCGATGAGTGTGCTGTGTGAGAATCGGAACCCATTGCCAGTCCCACCATTGAAGAATATGGTAGCTCAATCAAAAGCTAATGGACATGGTTTTGATGAGCTCTCTACAAATGTTTTCTGCATTTACATGTATGGCCAGGTTAGACTTACATGTTTACCTAAAAAAAAGTAATGATAAATCTATCTTTGTATTTAAGGAGTCGATAGCACCATTTTGACAAGCTTTAAAAATCACTTTTCAATCAGAAGTTGGGAAGATAGTGTGTGATCTTGGCTGTGTAAACTAATAGTTTTATACATATACTAGATATAAATAGGGACTTATAGAAGAGTGTGTATGGGGGGCAAAAGAGGGATGAAGAAGAAAGGACCTGACAGGACCATTAAGTTGAGTAACCTGGTTATACATATACTAGAGGCCCAATGCACGACATTGCAGCCCCGGCTTCATCCAGAAGTTCAGTTGATTTGCATATTATGCTTTTATTATTATAGAAACCTCCAAATCCTACATGCAATGTTTTTGACTGGCTAATCTAAACTACTGGAGAGGTAGGTTTCCTCTCTATAATGGTGTCCTGTCATCTAATCCTTCATACTTATGTCCCTCCAGTTCAGTAAACTTTTGACAACCCAGGAATACAAATTTCTCTACAAAAAACTAGACAGACTTACCAGATAATGCCACATAAGCCTAAAGAACCCTTGTAGGAGGCATTCTTTTCTTAATGCCTGCTAAGCTGTGTTTTCTGATTCCTCCTTGTATCTATATCTTAGTTTCCCTTTCATCACTTATATGATAGCCAATCTTTGTTCCTCTTTCCATTTCATTTGCCCTAAAGAATAATGCAGCCATTCACAATCACAGGCATGATCTGAAACAAACGAAGTGGCAATACAACTAATGTATATATGCCGTAATCTGATCCAAATGGGTATTAAAAATGTTTTGAAGATGGGTGTCAAACACTGCCTGCAAAGAATGATATAAAAAGGGATTTATAGAAGGGTGTGTGCAGGGGCAAAAGAGGGATGAAGAAGACTTGACAGCCATCAGCTTGATGTTTGAGGAAAGCAGCTGTGAACATTTTTAAATTTTATTGTCTGAGACTTAGGGTTTTTTTTGTACAGCTTATCTTTTGAAGTGTAAGTGTACAGATATCTCAACTGCAGGGATTGCCTTTTCAGATCAGATCATTATTAAAGGGTTAAAATAACTATAGCAGAAGTAACTTGATGCAGGCTGTTGGGTGATTTCTAGAGTCACAGGGAGTTATTCAGATATTGGAGTTCTGCAAAAACATATTCAGATAATCACTATCATTATTTACTCTGCTGTCAGTGGAGACCTAGCCAAGGCAGTCTTTGCATCAACTGACGATGTGCAAAAATGTCTTTGATGTCTTGGGTGATTTTTATTCTGCTTAGGGATGCCCCAAATTAGTAAAGTGCAT